AATCTGTGCAAAGTGGCTTGAAGTGCAAACCTTCATGGATGAAAATCACCCCTCACACAGCTATTGCAAGCCGTGCTGGTGATTATTACACTGACAATGTTGTGAAACACTTTAGGCAAGTCATAAAGGAACGAGAGGTACACGCCACTATGGACAGATATCTTGTGCGAAAGAAGTCCAGTGACTCTGAAGCTGGCCCTAGTGGCATTAAAAGAAGAAGGGAAGTAACCCCAGAAAAGGACTTGCTACCTCAAGTCCTAATGGAAGGGGATTCCCCTTCTAAACACTAACACTCTCTCTCCCCTCCTCCCATCCCATCAATCATCACCAGATCTTCAATAAAAGTAAGTGTCATGTAATTGTGCATGCCTTTTTCAGTTTGTGTGTATTAAAATTAACATTTCATGTGGTAAAAAAATTTTTTTTCATACTTTTGGGTGTCTTGCACGGATTAATTTTATTTCCATTATTTCTTATGGGGAAAATTCATTCACATAACGATTATTTCGCATAACAATTACCCCTCTTGCACGGATTAAAATCGTTAACCGGGGGTCCACTGTACTCAGATCACAACATTATTGAGGTTCCAACATGTATGCATGGAGCCCCAGACCGACATAATGAGATTAGTCACGAGGGAGCATTCACCAAATTCAACTTCAATAACAAAAACATAAAGTGGGACCAAGTAAACCAAGTCCTAACCGATATAAGCTGGGAAGATATACTAAGCAACACAGACCCCAACTTATGCCTAGAACAGATTAACTTGGTGGCACTCGATGTATGCACAAGGCTTATTCCTCTAAGAAAAAGGAGGAGTAGATGTAAAATAGAAAGAGACAGGCGCTCCCTTCACAGGCGACGGAAAAGAATAACAGAGCGGCTAAAAGAGGTCAATATATCTGAAATGCGTAGGGAGACACTGGTCAGAGAAATAGCAAGCATCGAACTTAAGCTAAAGGAATCTTATAGGAGTCAGGAATCGCGGGAAGAACTAAAAGCCATAAATGAAATCGAAAGAAACCCAAAGTATTTCTTCTCCTATGCCAAATCAAAGTCAAGAACAACGTCCAGTATTGGGCCCCTACTTAAACAAGATGGGTCCTACACAGATGACAGCAAGGAAATGAGTGAGCTACTCAAGTCCCAGTATGACTCAGTTTTTAGCAAGCCGCTAACCAGACTGAGAGTTGAAGATCAAAATGAATTTTTTATGAGAGAGCCACAGAATTTGGTTATCACAAGCCTATCCGAAGTTATCCTGATGGTAAATGACTTCGAACAGGCGATAAATGACATGCCCATGCACTCTGCCCCAGGGCCAGACTCATGGAACTCCGTGTTCATCAAGAACTGCAAGAAGCCCCTATCACGAGCCTTTTCTATCCTATGGAGAGGGAGCATGGACACGGGGGTCGTCCCACAGTTACTAAAAACAACGGACATAGCCCCACTCCACAAAGGGGGCAGTAAAGCAACAGCAAAGAACTAGAGACCGATAGCACTAACATCCCATATCATAAAAATCTTTGAAAGGGTCCTAAGAAGCAAGATCACCACCCATCTAGAAACCCATCAGTTACACAACCCAGGGCAACATGGATTTTGAACAGGTCACTCCTGTCTGTCTCTACTATTGGATCACTACAACAAGGTCCTAGATGCACTAGAAGACAAAAAGAATGCAGATGTAATATATACAGACTTTGCAAAAGCCTTCGACAAGAGTGACCATGGCGTAATAGCGCACAAAATGCGTGCTAAAGGAATAACAGGAAAAGTCGGTCGATGGATCTATAATTTCCTCACTAAGAGAACACAGAGAGTAGTCGTCAACAGAGTAAAGTCCGAGGCAGCTACGGTGAAAAGCTCTCTTCCACAAGGCACAGTACTCGCTCCCATCTTGTTCCTCATCCTCATATCCGACATAGACAAGGATGTCAGCCACAGCACCGTGTCTTCCTTTGCAGATGACACCCGAATTTGCATGACAGTGTCTTCCATTGCAGACACTGCAAGGCTCCAGGCGGACATCAACCAAATCTTTCAGTGGGCTGCAGAAAACAATATGAAGTTCAACAATGAGAAATTTCAATTACTCAGATATGGTAAACACGAGGAAATTAAATCTTCATCAGAGTACAAAACAAATTCTGGCCACAAAATAGAGCGAAACACCAACGTCAAAGACCTGGGAGTGATCATGTCGGAGGATCTCACCTTCAAGGACCATAACATTGTATCAATCGCATCTGCTAGAAAAATGACAGGATGGATAATGAGAACCTTCAAAACTAGGGAGGCCAAGCCCATGATGACACTCTTCAGGTCACTTGTTCTATCTAACCTGGAATATTGCTGCACACTAACAGCACCTTTCAAGGCAGGTGAAATTGCTGACCTAGAAAATGTACAGAGAACCTTCACGGCGCGCATAACGGAGATAAAACACCTCAATTACTGGGAGCACTTGAGGTTCCTGAACCTGTATTCCCTGGAACGCAGGCGGGAGAGATACATGATTATATACACCTGGAAAATCCTAGAGGGACTAGTACCGAACTTGCACACGAAAATCACTCACTACGAAAGCAAAAGACTTGGCAGAAGATGCAACATCCCCCCAATGAAAAGCAGGGGTGTCACTAGCACGTTAAGAGACCATACGATAAGTGTCAGGGGCCCGAGACTGTTCAACTGCCTCCCAGCATACATAAGGGGGATTACCAACAGACCCCTGGCAGTCTTCAAGCTGGCACTGGACAAGCACCTAAAGTCGGTTCCTGACCAGCCGGGCTGTGGCTTGTACGTTGGTTTGCGTGCAGCCAGCAGTAACAGCCTGGTTGATCAGGCTCTGATCCACCAGGAGGCCTGGTCACAGACCAAGCCGCGGGGGCGTTGACCCCCGGAACTGTCTCCAGGTAAACTCCAGGTAATTGTGTATATATATAACCATTTATTATTTTTAATATACACTCCACAAATTTATATATTTACCAGAATTCCTGGTGATGCATCTTTTATTGGTAATTAATAGGTCCAGAGCAACTTGTGGATATGACAGTGGTAGGTATCGAAGGGGGACATTTTTTGCGACCTAGGTGTCCCAAATTCCTACTTGTCTAACAGATAAATAATAATTATCTATGTTCATTTACTGTTATGTATATAATGATACATTCAGATAAATGCAATTTTCCACATAACCCATCATTCATCACCAACTCATTAATCATCAACCCACCAATCCTCATTAACTCAACAATCATCACAATCCATCGGTCAATAACAAATCTATTAATCATTAACACTTCAGTTACTTCCAACCCATTAATCACCAACTCAGCACCATCAATCCCCACCAGCCCATCAATCCACACAATAGCCTCGTCAAGACGCGCTACTCCGGTGTGGAGTAGAGTGCCTTGAGAATTATAATTATCAACAATGGTTATACTCATAATCATTATTTTTAAAGGGGTGGACGAATAAGCCAGCGGAAGGCCTCAGTCAGATGACCAAAAGCTCCACCTGCATCAGGAAATTCTTGTCCTGTTCCTTGACAAGCCTTACTTAAGCTAACCTTGAGAATTATATATTTTTTTAAGACAGGGCCATAGCCAGACTGTATAATTAATTGCTAGGTGTAACCCATAAATATCACAAAACCTCCCTTTACACAGCTCTGTGGTACAAGAGTCAGTCACCACTTACGCCTCTGAAGCAACAGACTGGTTCAACAGAATTTTTTTTATTAGGCAAGCACCAGACATGCCTAGTCCAGGACTGTGCTCCGAGAATAGGAAAACTCTCGAAACTCATCAGAGGTACAACCCATCAATTTCCCCCAACCCGTCACTCGCCATATTGATTCTATAATGTACATGTTAGACACCTTACCTTAAATATGCCCTCCATTTCCGGTCTATAAATTACAAAAAAGACGAAGATATACTGGGGAGGGTACAGAGAAGAGCCACCAAGTTTGTACCATAATTCAAAAACAAACAAAGCATTTGAAGACAAACTCAAAGCGCACAATGTTTTCCCTTGAAGGAAACAGACTATAAGGAGATTTAAAGTTTTAATACATTAAATAAATATAATAAATAAATAATATCTTTATTTCTGCAAGTACATGTACAAGATATACAGTCCTAGCTGACATCAATGACATACTACTATATAGAAAGTCGCTTGTTATGCTGAGAATTTAGGGCAAATTAGGTAAATTTTGTCCCAGGATGTGATCCACACCAGTCGATTAACACCCAGGTACCCAGTTTGCTGATGGGTGAACATGGACAGCAGATGTTTTATGGAAACACGTCCTAATGCTCATCAGCCGTACCGGGGGATCAATCTCTGGACCTCAATGGGTGAGCTGAGTGCGCTAGCAAACGAGCTACGGGACAATTTGAAGCCATCGATATCCTGATGTTTATTCAGCAACTGTATCAATACAGTCAGTTGACAACGAGGCAACCAGTTAATAACACTAGAGGTAGAAATACGTGACTGATAGCCACAGCAGAACTGGTGGTAACCAAAGATAGACCCACTATTAAACCCAGGTCTGTAAATGACAGTGGTGTAACGCGTGAAGATGAAGAAAGCAGTAATTAAACAGAGTTAGTTTTGATTCATGTCTTCCATCCGCGTCCATATTTTCTATAAATGTCTGGCCATTTTTCAATGCGATATGGTATATTTTTTCTTTTACATATAAATAGTGGTTGGAGGATGGGAAGAGTCTTCTGCTTTTCTATTCTTGACTCATTTAGCTAGATAATACACGATAGTTCCTGATCTAGATAGAAATAGATATTCAATACAGCAACTTTCCAAGTTATCCGTTATCTGCCTTTCCTATGTACCATAAACCTATAGCTTACCACAAACCCATCAGTTCCCCAACAACTCATCAATCTGAAAAAACCCACCGATCTTCAAAAACCTATCAATCACTGACAACCAATCAATCACCGTGGCAGGTCAACATATGTGGCACTTTCAACGTAATTCGGCTCTCGGCGGCATTGTTGGCAGAGAACGAGCCTGATGCTGACGGTCAGAGGGGAGTCATAGTGAACACAGCGAGCATCGCCGCGTTTGATGGACGTATAGGGCAGGCAGCATATGCGGCTAGCAAGGCTGCCATTGTGGGCATGACACTACCAATAGCACGTGACCTGAGCATTTTGGGCATCCGTGTGTGTACCATTGCTCCAGGTACGATAGTGTTAACTAGATGGGTTGTGGTTTTCGTGTCTCATTTATCCACTCATTGTTTGGTATGAGATGTATTGAACTTATTGATGTATTGAAAATTTCTGATCAGATAATGCAGAGAGAATGAATGAATGAATGTAGTAGTGGGTGCAAAATGATACTAAAGAGTGAGTATAACAATATGCGTGGAAGAACAGAAGAGGGAGAAAAAATAAGGAATATTGTTACTTGATTAAGGCTGTTTGCATAAAAAAAAAATTCGCGAGAGAGTTTCTCTCAACGAATGCAATGGAACATTATCTAGTGACTGCTTTTAACGTCTCTCCTCAGGACTGTTCAACACCCCATTGATGATGAGTTTGCCGGAGAAGGTCCAGCATTTCCTCGGCAAAATGACGCCCTTTCCCGGGCGTTTAGGTCATCCTGATGAGTTTGCCATGTTGGTCCAGACCATCATCAACAACCCCATGATGAATGGCGAGACTATACGCCTTGATGGGGCCTTACGCATGATGCCATGAACAGAACAGCGTGTTAGTCTAGGCAACGCGATGTGAATGTGAGACAGTTCTTGCATGTGTTGCAAAACTTTGTATTAGGTTTTCCAGAGTGAGGTTTCGTGTTTCTTTTGTATAATTATTATTAATAAAGTCAATAATAATTAAGAAATTAATTTTTATAATAATAATAATAATAATAATAATTATAATAAAAATAATAATAATAAGGAAAAGAATAGCACCAATAATTTTTTATGACCTAGAAATAAATGATGTAATGTAACAGTACAAATAACAATATTGATTAGGACGCAACATAACAATAACATTATTGAAAACAAGATTACTGACGATATTAATAGCTATTTGGCCAGATTACATTAATTATATTGAAGTTTAAGAATCCCTAATCTATCCCAGTAGGATATTTATCAACATAATTTTATGCAATAATATAAAAATAATAAAAATGAAGGGATCTAGTGGAACCAGACTAAGAAAAATTTATAGATGAATTTGTCATTAATTATTACGTAAAAAAAATTACAGCTTACTTATATTAGTGGGAATGGGAAGGATAGGGTAGCTCTAATTGCCTGGATCAAGAGCTTGACATCTTCATCCCCTTGAAGGGAATGAAGATGTCACTACCAGTAACCATAATTCTCATTTGGTCAGTTGACTCTGTCTCCAGTATTTATCTGCTGCAAGAATATGGTTCAAATGCGAGTCAGTTGAGGCATGAATGATCGCTGATGATGTCCCTGAGCAGGGTGCAACAAGAGTGAGGCTGGTGATACTTGCCCGTCTTGTGCTATAATAACTGTTTTCTGGTTGTAAACGACAGTGGTCCAGATGGGGGACATTTCCGAACACCGGTTTTATGGGACTTTTAGAACACTGGTTTTGCACACAACAGTAGTCAATAAGACTGATAAGTGATGAATGCTCTTCTGAAATGACAGGCCAAACCAGGTTGAGTCAAAGCAGGAGATAAGTAACCTAGCAACTGACTTGGTTGGCAATGCTCTAACCTCACACACTGAGTGTCCATGGTTCGATCCCTGACACGAGTAGAAATGTTGGGCATGTTTTCTTACACCTGCTGTCCCTATTCACCTACGCTCCTCTGGTATCAACAGTGGGAGCATTGTTGGTACACATGGCTATGCTCCTCTGGTATTAACAGTGGGGGCATTGTTGGTACACATGGCTAAGCTCCTATGGTGTCAACAGTGGGAGCATTGTTGGCACACATGGCCATGCTCCTCTGGTATAAACAGTGGGAGCATTGTTGGTACACATGGCTATGCTCCTCTGGCATCAACAGTGGGAGCATTGCTGGTACACATGGCCATGCTTCTGTGGTATCATCAGTGGGAGCTTTCTTGGTACACATGGCTATGCTCCTCTGGTATCATCAGTGGGAGCATTGTTGGTACATGTGGCCATGCTCCACTGGTATCAACAGTGGGAGCATTGTTGGTACACATGGCTATGCTCCTCTGGTGTCAACAGTGGGAGCATTACTGGTACACATGGCCACACTCCTCTGGTATCATCAGTGGGAGCATTGTTGGTACACATGGCTATGCTCCTCTGGTATCAACAGTGGGAGCATTGTTGGTACACATGGCTACGCTCCTCTGGTATCATCAGTGGGAGCATTGTTGGTACACGTGGCCACGCTCCACTGGTATCAACAGTGGGAGCCTTGTTGGTGCACATGGCCACGCTCCTCTGGTATCAACAGTGGGAGCATTGCTGGTACACATGGCCACACTCCTCTGGTGTTACCAGTTGGAGCATTGTTGATACACATGGCCATGCTTCACTGGTATCAACAGTGGGAGCATTGTAGGTACACATGACCACGCTCCAATGGTATCAACAGTGGGAGTGTTGTTGGTTCACATGGCTACGCTCCTCTGGTGTCACTAATGGGGGCATTGTTGGTACACATGGCCACGCTGCTCTGGTATCAACAGTGGGAGCATTGTTGGTACACGTGGCTACGATCCTCTGGTGTCAACAGTGGGAGCATTGCTGGTACACATGGCCACGCTCCTCTGGTATCATCAGTGGGAGCATTGTTGGTACACATGGCTACGCTCCTCTGGTATCAACAGTGGGAGCATTGAAGATTGAGACACTTATGCAGCATAGTGGAATTTTTACACGGACCACGTTCGCCACAACAGGGCTGTTAAATCCACGCCCTCAGGAAACAAGAGAGGAGCATTGCTGGTAATCAGGCCCCAGCCTGGTGTTCCATGTTGACATTGTTGATACACATGGCATGCTAGTGGTACAAGCATGGGGCGTAGACTGACCCCCTGTATATACTGTAGGAGTGGTTGTCACAGGCTAGGCTCCGGGACATGGGGTCATGTGGTACCATGCCACGTGGTACGACAGTGGAGCATTGTTGTCAAGAGGTTGAACAACGTGTGAAGCATTCTTGTAACACCAAGTCCTCGGGATGCTCAGTCGGACAGTTTTTGGGGAATGGTTTGAATCAACAGAGATTGAAGATTGAGACACTTATGCAGCATATGGGAATCTTTATTCAGGAAACGTTTCGCCACACAGTGGCTTCATCAGCCCAATACAAAGAGGAAGCATAAGGAGAGGAGGAGTATGAGGTAATCAGTCCCTCAGCCTGGAGTCGATGTGTTCAGTCCATCAATCTTGTAGAATGTACAGCATAGGGCCGTAGACGTGGCTTATATACTGTAGTGAGGTGAGGTGAAGCAGGCGGAGGTGGGGTCATAGTGGTACCATCCACTAGTCGAAGTAGGTCTTTGTCCAAAGGTTGAACAAGTGTTGAAGAATTCTTTGTAACAAGATCCCATGATGCTGCAGTGTCTGACAGTTGTGATGAATGGTTTGAAAAAACCGACAAGTTGAAGATTGAGACACTTATGCAGCATATGGGAATCTTTATTCAGGAAATGTTTCGCCACACAGTGGCTTCATCAGTCCAATACAAAGAGGAAGACATAAGGAGAGGAGGAGTATGAGGTAATCAGTCCCTCAGTCTGGAGTCAATGTGTTCAGTCCATCAATCTTGTAGAATGTACAGCATAGGGCCGTAGACGTGGCTTATATACTGTAGTGAGGTGAGGTGAAGCAGGCGGAGGTGGGGTCATAGTGGTACCATCCACTAGTCGAAGTAGGTCTTCGTCCAAAGGTTGAACAAGTGTTGAAGAATTCTTTGTAACAAGATCCCATGATGCTGCAGTGTCTGACAGTTGTGATGAATGGTTTGAAAAACCGACAAGTTGAAGATTGAGACACTTATGCAGCATATGGGAATCTTTATTCAGGAAACGTTTCGCCACACAGTGGCTTCATCAGTCCAATACAAAGAGGAAGACGTAAGGAGAGGAGGAGTATGAGGTAATCAGTCCCTCAGCCTGGAGTCGATGTGTTCAGTCCATCAATCTTGTAGAATGTACAGCATAGGGCCGTAGACATGGCTTATATACTGTAATGAGGTGAGGTGAAGCAGGCGGAGGCAGGGTCATAGTGGTACCATCCACTAGTCGAAGTAGGTCTTCGTCCAAAGGTTGAACAAGTGTTGAAGAATTCTTTGTAACAAGATCCCATGATGCTGCAGTGTCTGACAGTTGTGATGGACTGAACACATCGATACCAGGCTGAGGGACTGATTACCTCATACTCCTCCTCTCCTTACGCCTTCCTCTTTGTATTGGACTGATGAAGCCACTGTGTGGCGAAACGTTTCCTGAATAAAGATTCCCATATGCTGCATAAGTGTCTCAATCTTCAACTTGTCGGTTTTTCAAACCATTCATCACAACTGTCAGACACTGCAGCATCATGGGATCTTGTTACAAAGAATTCTTCAACACTTGTTCAACCTTTGGACGAAGACCTACTTCGACTAGTGGATGGTACCACTATGACCCCGCCTCCGCCTGCTTCACCTCACCTCACTACAGTATATAAGCCACGTCTACGGCCCTATGCTGTACATTCTACAAGATTGATGGACTGAACACATCGACTCCAGGCTGAGGGACTGATTACCTCATACTCCTCCTCTCCTTACGCCTTCCTCTTTGTATTGGACTGATGAAGCCACTGTGTGGCAAAACGTTTCCTGAATAAAGATTCCCATATTCTGCATAAGTGTCTCAATCTTCAACTTGTCGGTTTTTCAAACCATTCATCACACAGTGGGAGCATTGTTGGTACACATGGCTACGCTCCTCTGGTATCATCAGTGGGAGCATTGTTGGTACACATGGCCATGCTCCTCTGGTATCAACAGTGGGCGCATTGCTGGTACACATGGCCACGCTCATCTGGTGTCACCAGTGGGAGTATTGTTGGTACACATGGCCATGTTTCTCTGGTATCAACAGTGGGAGCATTGTAGGTACACATGACCATGCTCCACTGGTATCAACAGTGGGAGCATTGTTGGTACACTTGGCACGCACCTCTGGTATCAACAGTGGGAGCATTGTTGGTACACGTGGCCACACTCCACTGGTATCAACAGTGGGAGCATTGTTGGTACACATGGCCATGCTCCTCTGGCATCAACAGTGGGAGCATTGCTGGTACACATGGCCACGCTCCTCTGGTGTCACCAGTGAGAACATTGCTGGTACACATGGCTACACTTCTCTGGTATCAACAGTGGGAGCATTGTTGGTACACATGGCCACACTCCTCTGGTATCAACAGTGGGAGCATTGTTGGCACACATCGCTACGCTCCTCTGGTATCAACAGTGAGAGCATTGTTGGTACACATGGCTATGGTCCTCTGGTATCAACAGCGGGAGCATTGCTTGTACATGTGACCATGCTCCTCTGGTATCAACAGTGGGAGCATTGTTGGTACAAATGGCTACGCTTCTCTGGTGTCAACAGTGGGAGCATTGTTGGCACACATGGCTACGCTTCTCTGGTGTAACAATGGGAGCATTGTTGGTACACATGGCCATGCTCCTCTTGTGTCAACAGTGGGAGCATTGTTGGTACACATGGCCACGCTCCTCTGGTGTCAACAGTGGGAGCATTGTTGGTACACATGGCCATGCTCCTCTGGTGTCAACAGTGGGAGCATTGTTGGTACACATGGCCACGCTCCTCTGGTGTCAACAGTGGGAGCATTGTTGGTACACATGGCCACACTCCTCTGGTGTCAACAGTGGGAGGATTGTTGGTACACATGGCCACGCTCCTCTGGTGTCAACAGTTGGAGCGTTGTTGGTACACACGGTTACGCTCCTCTGGTATCAACAGTGGTAGCATTGTTCAGGCTGACACTACTGAAGTCTCCCAGTTCAGGCAGTTGAAGGCATCCTCTCGTTCCTTGGATTGAACCTGATTATCTCTCATTTCCCAGGAGCTGTATGTACCTTACGGGTTTAGCGCTCCCCCATGAGTATATTAACACCAAGATTAACAAAAAGAGAATTTGAAGGCAGTCACTCAGTGTAGGATTAAGTCAGAGATTCTTAGTGATTACGTATCTTCCAGACATCAAGAGAGTTCCGTTTTATTTTAATTTATCCAGTCAATGATGTTCATCACTATGAGGTTCAACAGACCAAGGTGTAAGGTGTAAACACCACATGTACAACATACTTCCTCGTCATCGTTGTTGGTCATTGTTCATTGTCGTCACCCAGCTTGTCGGGCACTGGCAGGTCACGTCAAAGAGCCAGTGGAAATACCTAGTACCAGATACCAGGGGACAGGTAGTCCCTCCCTCCAAGGATAACTAGAGAAGTGTTGTATCAAGAGGCGACAACTGTACCATGACAATTAATGACGTGTTGGGTGAAGCTTCATTATTGGTAACTCGTGATGTGTCATGTGAAGTTGTGAGAGCGGTGACACAGTGACAAATAGTGATCTCTTGCATGGAATGGCAACATGGTGACCAGTGATGTGTGAACTGAGAGTGAAAAGTAGACAGCAGTGCTTTGTGTGGAATTGGGACACTGATAACTGCTGATGTGTCATGTGAATACCATGACACTTACCGATGTGGCATGTGTAATTGTGGCATCAGTACCTCACCTATATGTCGTTGAAGGGGTCGAATCACAGTTCCTGAGTGATGTGGTATGTGGAACTACAGCAGTGATAACCAGTGATATTATCTAGGACCACTGGAAGATTTTGGAAAGTAAAGGCAAGTTTGATATTGGCTATAATTGTTTCTATCTGTTGGGTCACCACCTTTGTGTATTGGTATAATCCTTGTTAGCTTGAGTGTTGCCAGGAAAGTGTTAGTATCTAGAGATTTGTTGAAGAGTAATGCAGTGGTAGGTGAAAGGATTTGAGCCGCTCGTTTATACAGTAGTGGTGGCACTTGGGTTACATTCCTTGATTTGTTTTTTAGAGAGTTAATAATCATGATAACCTCAGTGGGCTGTGTTGGTGTAAGCTTGAGGGATGTTGGGAAGTTATGGCATTTTATTGAGCAGATCTTCAATCTTTGTCAGTTAGTTTATTAAATCCATCTCATGTAGTAACTGGGTTGATTGATGCCATCCAGATTAGATCTTTACAATGACTCTCCAGTAATAGTGTCATATAAATATTTTATAAATTTTGTTTCCAGAAACTGTGCATCTCCCACCAAGGTAGTGACCCAAACAAAGAAGAAATGCTTTTGCCATCACAGTCTTGCCAGAGTTGCACTGATACTACACCTCAAAACTGCTAATGTCTCCACCCGTCCTTTAGGGTGCAGGTACTATACTTCCTTAGTTGTGTTGTATAGTAATTGAAGAGAATTATTGGATAGATGTACTTGAAATATTTGTCATTTTATATTAGTGATTTATATTAAAAGTCATATACAGTAGACCGTCGTTTAACACGGTTTTGTCTTGCACGTTTTGGTTATAGCACGATTGAAGAATTGTGGCATTTTTTTGTTTGACACTTCGTAAAATTAGTTTAACATAGTTGCGGGAGGAAAAAAATTTTTGAGCCTGCAGTCGCCCATGAGGCAGGATGGGCTACAGTCATCCCCCGTTACCCCCACCACCCTCCCAGCCTTCAGTTCAGTTCATACGTGTGTTGGACGAATCTGTGCCAGTAGCTCCCTGTGTCTGTTTAGATATGTATTAATTGCCATATCTTAAATCTGCCAAGCAATCATGGCACCCAGTAGGCATACAAGTGTTGCTGAAAGTTGCAAGAAAAGGTTTAAGCTTCTAAGTCTTAGAATTAACAAACAAAATAGAGATATTAGACAAGAGATAGCCTGTGGCGGGAATGAAGAGTCATTTTGTACACAAAAAGAATGATTTAAATACGAGTTTGTATGACAACTGTCTGACTTGACTGACTGAATGACTTTGCCCTTGTAGTAGACCCTGTCAGTTATTAAAGTACAGGTCGGCCCATCACTAATCCGGCATCATTGGGACCTGTAGTGTGCTGTATTAGTGAGTTTGCTGGATTACAGAGTGGTTAGGTTACACTTAATTAACCTATCAATGAAATTTGAGTCAGTATAATGATGAAATTTGAGTCAGTATAAGGATGAAATTTGAGTCAGTATAATGATGAAATTTGAGTCAGTATAATGATGAAATTTGAGTCAGTATAATGATGAAATTTGAGTCAGTATAATGATGAAATTTGAGTCAGTATAATGATGAAATTTGAGCCAGTATAATGATGAAATTTGAGTCAGTATAATGATGAAATTTGAGCCAGTATAATGAAATTTGAGTCAGTATAATGATGAAATTTGAGTCAGTATAATGATAAAATTTGAGTTAGTATAATGATGAAATTTGAGTCGGTATAATGATGAAATTTGAGTCGGTATAATGATGAAATGAGTCAGTATAATGATGAAATTTGAAATTATGCTAGCTGAAATTAGTGCCGGATTACTGATGGAACTGAATAACTGATTGCCAGATTAGTGATGACTGACCTGTACTAGTAGTAGTCCCTGTCAATTATATAGTACTTGTAGTAGTCGCTGACAATTATATAGCACTTGTAGTAGCCCCTGACAGTTATATAATAGTTTGTTTTAGTGGTCTACTGTATCAGATGCTTTCCTTAGGTCAGTGAAGAGCCCCAGAGAATATTCATTTGTTTCAGTTGCTGTACAGTATATAGTAATTCGAACATCCGAGGTAGTACAATTTATTATATAGTCTTACATTTTTAAGTTTGTAATTAGTTCTTTCACAGTGGTAGAATACAAATATTCTATATTTCACTCTGTTATTAACCCTTTCAGGGTCCAGAGGCCAAATTTCAAAGTGTGCACCAGGGTCCAAGAATTTTCCAGAAAATTTTTTGTTATTTTTTCTTATGAAATGGTAGAGAAACTTTTTCTGAAAGTAATAAAACAAAAAGTACTAAATTTGATGGAAAATTGATGAAATTATACTCTTGCAATTTTGCCGACTTTGACTCCCATTTTAGAAACCATACCCCCGGCCGGGATTGAACCCGCGGTCATAGAGTCTCAAAACTCCAGCCCGTCGCGCTAACCACTAGACCAGCTAGCCACAATAAGATTCATCCAACTAGGTATATTTCTACACCATAGGAAGGTTAGCACAGGCACCTCTGTGACCACAAATGCAAGTTTTTACAGACGAATCTCCAGCTAGCGTGGCCGTGACGAACTCTAGCTCAAGTCCCTTCACTGCCGTCAACATGACTTAAGAAATCGTAATGACACGATTGCAAATAAACCATACCCCCGGCCGGGATTGAACCCGCGGTCATAGAGTCTCAAAACTCCAGCCCGTCGCGCTAACCACTAGACCAGCTAGCCACAATAAGATTCATCCAACTAGTATATTTCTACACCATAGGAAGGTTAGCACAGGCACCTCTGTGACCACAAAATGCAAGTTTTTACAGACGAATCTCCAGCTAGCGTGGCCGTGACGAACTCTAGCTCAAGTCCCTTCACTGCCGTCAACATGACTTAAGAAATCATAATGACACGATTGCAATCGTGTCATTACGATTTCTTAAGTCATGTTGACGGCAGTGAAGGGACTTGAGCTAGAGTTCGTCACGGCCACGCTAGCTGGAGATTCGTCTGTAAAAACTTGCATTTGTGGTCACAGAGGTGCCTGTGCTAACCTTCCTATGGTGTAGAAATATACCTAGTTGGATGAATCTTATTGTGGCTAGCTGGTCTAGTGGTTAGCGCGACGGGCTGGAGTTTTGAGACTCTATGACCGCGGGTTCAATCCCGGCCGGGGGTATGGTTTATTTGCAATCGTGTCATTACGATTTCTTAAGTCATGTAGTCCCATTTTAGGTGAATTACAATATAAAAGTCAACCAAATTCTTAGCTATTTCACTAGTATTACTTCAATTCTATCGAATGAGCACAAGAAATTGCTCGGTCAACTGTTTCAACTACAAAATAAAGTGATCGGAAATTGGTAATTTGGCCAATTTAATGCAAAGATCAAAATATTCCAATTTCAAAATAGGGTCCAGAATAAACAACACAGGCATTCCTGGCACTAAACTGACATTTCCTCTGTTCATTAGTTATGTTTTCAGGCTTTACAAATTAATTCCATTTTGATTTTTTATTCACATAATGAATTTTTATTCAGATCAAAGAATAGAAGATTTACTGTTATGCAATATTGTAATAATTGTATAAATGATATCACCACATTTGTGAATGTATATTAGACCCAACAGCTGGCGTGTATTATATGTGTAAGGTCATTTGTTTACTCTTGAACATCGGCGAAAATTTAACATTTCCACTACTCTGAGCTCAGTTTCAAGCCATTTCCAAAACTATAACCAATCAAAATCATCTCTATTTCTGTAATATATCTTCCATTCTATCAAATGAGACCAAGAAATCACAAATACAACTATAAAAAACATACTAAAAAACACTGCAGAGTCGCTGTTTTAATCGAAAATTATGGTCTCAGTTTTTTTCTCTCATTATGCACTGTGTGCTGCAGGATTTGTTTTATGTGGTGCACACATACCACATAGATGTATTCTCTCATATCTAGGCCCAAATTTACCACTCACAGCTTATCTGAATGAGCTGAGCTCATGGTGTAGAACTACTGTTTGGACCCTCAACTCAAAGCCGTAGAACTACAGCAGGGACCCTGAAAGGGTTAATGATACAATTAATTTATGATAAAATCAATCTTACTTTTTTAGTTCGTAATTAACCCCTGGACTGTCTTACGAGCCACCGTGTTTGACGTATCTATACACACAAATTCTACCGGCTTCAAATCAAGCAGGAGAGGGCTGGTAGGCCTACATGAGAGAGAATGGGTTTGAGTGGTGGGTGTGCACCCTATGAAAAAAAATCTGGGACTCAGTGGTGCATTGTGGGAATGCCATCTTGGTAGTCCATTTTCACCATGCCTCGCAGTAAGAAGTACCTCACTCCTTGGCGGATTAGAGGTCTTTTGTTCCCAAGTGATAGCTCTAACATCGATGGAAGTGTCAGTGAAAGTGAATTCCATGGTTTTCAAGTGGGTGTGACCAAGAACAGTGCCCAGGATAATGTAATAAGTGATGAAAACCCAGATGACCCACGACCTTTCACCTCTGGTGCTGGGCCGGCTCTTTCACGTTCACCTGTACCAGGACGAAAGAGGAAACTATTTGCCCATGTACAAGACTCAGATGTGAGCAGTGAAAGTGATAGTGATTTCAAAGCTATTGAAAGCAGTTCTAGTTACAACAGTGCGGGTGAATATTCCCCAGTGAAGCGGCAGTATATAGGACATAGCATGCGGTCTGGCAGTGTGTCATATGCTGTTCCAAGGGAAAGGAGTAAATCTCGGAGCACATCCCTTGGCCCTACACCACGAACTGATAGTGAAGATGACGATATTGTTATGATGGGTATGAATGATGTGAGTGAGGCAGCAGGTGGTAGTGATGATAGCGATAGTGGCATGAGTCATGTGGCACCAGCAGTGGGTCACGCTACTACCGACACTGCTGACTCTGCACAACCACAACCAGCCTCACCCAACCCCACACTCCCACAACCTGCACAACCACAACCACGTTTCAATATCCAGAACCCACCAGCTGACCGCATCTCGGATTGGCAGCAAGGTGATGAGTCTGTTCCCAGTCCCCATGACTTTGATGAAACACAAAGTGGAATACGGCCATCATGTACACTTGGGAACAATGCCACTGAACTGGAATGCTTTCAGTTGTTCTTCGATGAACTTCTGCACCTGTGATGGATTACAACCTCAATATGCACTTAGTGGACAAATGTGACATGCAGATTGGGTTTGCTGATTGTGTTTGCAAGAGTATGTATGTATGCTAAATTTCTAAATAAATAATAAGTTATAAGTGGTACATAAAACTCTTTTTCCATCTTGACATTTCCATGCTGAATGCTTATAATATGTATAAGTTGAAGACCAACAACAAACCCAAATATGGTGAATTTTGTTTGTCAGTTATCAGACAAATAATATTCAAGTACCCAGGAACAACACTTGCAATAGACCAGCGCCCACAAAATTATCAACATATGCTCTATTGTCTGAGGCCTGGTGATCACTACCCCATACCACTGCCTGCTACTGCTCTCAAGAAAAATGCTCAGAAGAGGTGTTTTGTCTGTGGGCATACCACAAAATGCCCACAAAAATGCAGACACTCGTTTTATGTGTGAGGAGTGTAAGACACCATTGTGCTTATACCCATGTTTCAAAGAATTCCATAAG